GCAAAGAAATAATCGATTAAATAGAAAACAAAAAGTGAATGAAAGATTAAAAAAAACAAAAAATGTTCACATTTGCGTTGCTTGGATGTTTCTTTGGAAGATAATAAAAAATGCGAGTAAGGCTGGTTTAGTGGCCCACTGGGCAAAATCTTAGTTCGTCACAAGATGTGGTTCAAGTACAACAACAACTTTATTTCTACTCAATATTTATACATAAGTTAAACTTATACGCGAAAAATTAAAAAGTATTGTTTGCTCAAAATAACCATAAGGCTGGAAATACAGGGCAGTTGTCAATAGCAACGTAGTCGTTAGCAACAATGCTGTCATGATTGGAAATTACACAATTATTTGGTCAAGTTTTCACATTTTTTTCAGTCCGCACCAGGATCACTTTAATTGTTTACAAATGTGGTTATGACTGCAAAGATCCCACTAAACGCTTAGCGAGGTTGAACAATTCCTGGAGTACAATGGAAAAGTTAGAATGCATACTCTGGACAAACTGGTAGAAACACAAATCATTTTTTTAACAAAGCATACTTTGTTTGTTACTTAAAGGAATTAATTTGTTTTCAGTCGGTTACATTATGTACAATGAAAATTTTAATATGGCCTCAGTTAGATATTTTTTTCATTCATTCAATGATGTCGCTCGTGATATTCAAATGACTCATTCGAAAAAGCTGTAACGTTTATCATGGGATCCAAAGAGTTATGAACACCCATCTCATTCATAATCAATTCAAATTTCTCTTCCTGCTCGGCCTCTCTGGAATATGCTTGGACTATACTGTCCAAGCGTTGGAACAGATCTNTAAAGGAATTAATTTGTTTTCAGTCGGTTACATTATGTACAATGAAAATTTTAGTTTGGCCTCAGATTTTTTTTCATTCGTTCAATGATGTCGGGAATGCTAACTGGTCGCTCGTGATATTCAAATGACTCATTCGAAAAAGCTGTAACGTTTACCATGGGATCCAAAGAGTTATGAACACCCATCTCATTCATAATCAACTCAAATTTCTCTTCCTGCTCGGCCTCTCTGGAATATGCTTGGACTATACTGTCCAAGCGTTGGAACAGATCTTTCTTGGTCGCCTGTAATCTTCTGAGTTGAGACTTAGTGACATCCTCTGCGAAACATACTTTCTTTCCCTTCTTATTAAGATGGCAGTGATGCTCATTCCTTGCATGCTTCGGATATACAATAATATTACTGCCTTGATCAAAGAAGGACCTTTTTTCTGAGTTCTTTTGCTTTGGATTTCCTGATGCTTTTTTCCTGATGCTTGACTGGGCTAACATTTCCTCGAGTTTCCATTGGCGTAAACCGTTACTTATCTTATCATAAAATTGATGGCGTTGGTTTGTCTTCTTCCAGCTGCATTCGTCCACGCCAGGGTCGTAAAGTGGGCTTTCCTTTGCAGTGTTCTTTGCTTCTGCAAGTGCGTCGTTCAGTATGACGATGAAGAAGTTCATCGCCAAAATGGCAGTACTCAGCAGAATCATGGCTGCGAAAATTCTTCCGAACATTTCATTGGTGAGCTCTAACTGATTGACTGGCCTTGCTTTCACTCGACCCAGAGTCAACTCTATTTGGAAAAAAC